CACCCACGGTCGACATAACCTCTAAACAAATTATTTAACCTTTGAAACGCGATTTTGATCATGATACAATAAAAGTGCAGGCAAGTAGATATTTTTATCTTTTAGAGCTGGAAAAATACAACTTTACTATATTTTTTTATATTTTTGTAGGTGGTGGAAATAACCTAAAAATTCTCAGAACCGTTTTTACACCTGATTGCAGCATGTAATCTATTTTATCGGTTTTCAAAAGACTGATTCCTGATGAATTTATGTTTTTGCGACAAATTGTACTTTTTCAAATTTTTCAGAGTTTTTCAAGTGGTAGAACTAACCACAAAACTCAAGAAAACGTTTCTCATTCATTCTAGCATACCTTTTTTTTGTGTTACATAACATTTGTGGTATTGCCTATGACACATGACAATATTCACTTTTTGTACGTTTCCGTTCTTACAAATTTCCCCAAAAACGTATAACCTTATAGCATAGCGAAACGAAATATTTGGAACAAATAATTCATCCGTTTGTACGTACGAACCATAGAGGTATTAGAATATTGTAAGCGATCCCCATCTTACTCTGTACTGTGCGATACTGCCACGAGCGAGAGAAAAAGCTGCAAGAAGGCCTCCTGAGAAACCTGTAGTACTATATCTATATATATATTTAGACATGTAGTAATAGGAGGCCTTCTTGCAGCTTTCTCTCTCGCACATACACGGAAAAAAATTTTGGTTGCAATAACCGTTGCGCACGTACTGATAAATACATTCGTATTTATGTACAGTCTAAGATGAGCATAAAACAGAACACGTATATTTACATGTATTAATATTGACTAGCTTTCGCATTACTTTTTTTACTTTGAGATGAACTTGCAATTCATGTAACTATCTTTACTATCGACATGTCCAGAGTAAATAAGTAGGGCCCTTTAAGAAACAATAGTTAAGTCGGGTTTCACGAAAAACGTAAGTACAGGTTACGCCCTAAGTTTGCCATGAAGTAAACTCGGTTTTTCAAAAGATTTTTCATAATTAAAAACTTTTTATATGTTAAAGTAATCTGCACTCTGTAATCTCTCTTTTAGAACAAACAGTGAGAGAGAGAGAGAGAGAAAGAGAGGGAGGGAGAGAGAGAAATTGTGGGTGTGTGTACTTGTATACAGTGATCTATAGATCTGTCATGTAAGAAAATAACTACATCTTGCTTTTTAGGTTTGAATTTATTTATTTCTGTGTTAATAGAGTGCAGTGCTCGTGATTAATGGTCTCGACTATCAGTTACGTATTTAACAAGATTTCATCATGTTAAACACTTTTGTGAATGATATGATGCCATAAGGATTTTTTCACCAGCCAGTTGCTTTGCTTTTACAAATTCAACTTCGGGTCCTGTGAAAATCATCAACTCAAGTAAAAATAAGTCATACTCTATGCTTTAACTTAATATTTTTATAATTTTNAAGCAGAAAAAAAGTGTGATGTAGTTCACCTCCACGCGGTGCACGTTGAAAAACATAATGATAATACGTCCTATGGCTAAACGAACTACTTTTTTTAACTTATTAATTGAGATATATTTTACAATTTAGGGATTGGTAGGGGTAGTTTTTCAGAGTTGTAAGGGTCCGTGGGGATTAAGAATGCAGGGTTAATGTGTTTAGCCTGTCTGTTGTTGAGGAATGCATTTTTGTTAAGAAACCCAGTTGATAAAAGTTGCTCTGCCCAGGGTTAGGTAGGTTAGCCTGCTTGGGGGTTGGTAGAAATGGTTTTTTAAGGGTTGTAAGGGTCTGTGGGGATGAAGAATGCAGGGTTTATGTGTTTAGCCTGTCTATTGTTGAGGAATGCATTTTTCTTAAGAAACCCAGTTGATAGAAGTTACTCTGCCCAGGGTTAGGTAAGTTAGCCTGCTTGGGGGTTGGTAGGGATGGTTTTTAAGGTTTGCAAGGGTCTGTGGGGGTGAGAAATGCAGGGTTAATATGTTTAGCCTGTCTGTTGTTGAGGAATGCATTTTTGTTAAGAGACCCAGTTGATAGAAGTTGCTCTGTCCAGGGTTAGGTAGGTTAGCCTGCTTGGGGGTGGGTTCACCGCTTTAGGGGTGATTTTTACCCCTATAAATTTGGATTTTCGCAGTAATACAAGATAGCGGACATAATAACGAGTATTTAAAAAACAAAAAGACTTAATTTGGACGTTTTTTTCTGCCCCGCGCGTAATTTTGATCGTTTTCGCCCACTGTGCGCCGAGAAAAGAAATGAAATGTAAAAAATACGGTTTTTATGGTCCCTAGCAGGAAAAAATTCTTTTGGTCTTGGACCCAGTTGACCCTTTATTTTTAGCCCTAAAAACAGTTTGACACTGTTAAAACGAAAAAACTTAATTTATGGCATTTTGTTGTGCTTAATTGGGGGGACCCTTTGAGTAAAACTGTCAACTTTAAATCGTCCTACGGAAATTTATGAAAACATTATTGCAACTTACTTTGTCACGTGATATTACTGCAATTTCAAATGCAAATAATGTTGCAAAACTGATTGCAACATTAATTTTGACGTAAACTGAAAAACAGTTACGCAACAGAACTTGCAATTTATGTTGCAATTTTTTTTGCGATTATTGTTAAAGGAAATTCAATATTTCCATAGCTAGTACTTTTATACACATAAAAAAAAAATGTAAAATAATCATAGGTCGCGTTAATTTTTCTGCAATTCGTTTTTTTATTCTGACAAATATTTGAAATTGAAACAGTAGGTCGTTCAATATTTTAATCTTCATATTTTGTATTTGGATTTTTCAAAAAGTGATGTTTTTCAGGAACTGATTTAAATGATTGTTAACAACAGTTCAAAGGGGTTGTAATTGCACGCCCCACAATTTCCTGCAGAAATTTGTTCGTTCGAAGGACTTCAAAGTCCTACCTTAGAACAAACGTTTTATCTTGTTTATTTATGACCCTATGTCAACTGTTTTTTTTTGGGTAACATTGTAAGATAATAACTTCTTACATATTGTCATTGTTATTAAAGTGTCTATAACTTTGTTGTAAGCAATTAAGAAGAAAAAATTGTTTCTTTCTATTCGGTATTAAATCAGGGTCCAAAGTACTTTTTATGCTTGCGTCATGGTAACAAAAGATAAATTTTTCTGTCGTTCGGGAGCACACACTGAAAAAATTTCGGCAAGAAAGTTAACTGCCACTATGAATGTACGGCTTTATATAGCTGTGGCTTAACTTTTGCCATGGACGGTAGCGTAGCGCGTAGCTAGCACGCAGCGTAGGGCAGAACAGAACGCACTGCCTTACTGACTTAACGACAGTCCACAGAAAATTGTAGTTTCCTACCTTGTCGGTAGGTTGCTTTAATTGCATAGCCTTGAAACATTATTTATTTAGCAGCTAGCTGTTTTATTAAAAAAATAAGAGTAGACGCACATTCTTGACACATCAAAGAACAAATCAAGCCCTTACTTAGCAAAATTGATTGAAAATTCAAGCCAAACAGTGAAAAATCAGGTGTTGGATTGATAAGATGTAATCTGATTTCTCACTTTTCTTCTCCATATTTCAATAAATCTTACAGAAATCGAGCAATATTTATTCCTTGTAGATTCAGGAATGTACGTCTACTGTTTTTCTCACATGTTAATATTTCAGATCAATCGATTGTTGCATACTAAGTAAAATATCTGTTGGTCGATAGAATAGGAAACTCATTTATGCAAAGTAATATCGTATGCTTAATTCTGTTAGGTGATGTGATTTGCATCAGTAATTTACTATACACATTTTTTAAATAAAACAGTTAGCTGTTAAATAAATAATATTTTATGGCTATGCAATTAAAGCAACCTACCGATAAGGTAGAAAACTACAATTTTCTCTGGACTGCCTTTAACAGGTTGCTTTTTTTCTGGGACCGGGTGAAAAATCAACCCACAACTAGAAGTCATTCATTCCAAATAGTAGGCACGTCATGCCCAGAGTGTTTGACCTGATTTTGTTTCGGCTTGGGCAAATTTCTTGCCTGTAATTTTTTTAGTGCAGTAGAGAGAGAAAGAGAGGGAGGGAGAGAGAGAAATTGTGGGTGTGTGTACTTGTATACAGTGATCTATAGATCTGTCATGTAAGAAAATAACTACATCTTGCTTTTTAGGTTTGAATTTATTTATTTCTGTGTTAATAGAGTGCAGTGCTCGTGATTAATGGTCTCGACTATCAGTTACGTATTTAACAAGATTTCATCATGTTAAACACTTTTGTGAATGATATGATGCCATAAGGATTTTTTCACCAGCCAGCTGCTTCGCTTTTACAAATTCAACTTCGGGTCCTGTGAAAACCATCAACTCAAGTAAAAATAAGTCATACTCTATGCTTTAACTTAATATTTTTATAATTTTCACGTCAATTTTTCATATTAAAGTGAAAATATAATGTCTTGAAATGTATGTAAGAAAGAACGGATTCGTATTTTTTAAAACTGAAATAAAATAAAAAAGTATTTAGTACATATATGTGAAGTTTCCAAATATCTCAATTAAAAAAACATTTTTTTTATCATAAAAAATATAATCATTTGTACATCTTACATTGTTAAGCTGAATTAATGAAAACTATCGTTTGTTTTGGGTTTTGTGGTTAGTTCTACCACTTGAAAAACTCTGAAAAATTTGAAAAAGTACAATATGTCACAAAAACATAAATCCATCAAGAATCAGCTTTTTAAAAACCGATAAAATGGATTACATGCTGAAATCAGGTAAAAATAACAGTTATTAGGGTTTTAAGGTTAGTTCCATCACCTACAAAAATATGAAAAAATATATTGAAGTTGTATTTTTTTCGCTCTAAAAGATGAAAATATCTACTTGCCTGCACTTTCATTGGATCATGGTCAAAATCGCGCTTTAAAGGTTAAACAATTTGTTTAGAGGTTATGTCGACCATGGGTGACCTTGGAAAAAATTTTACGCAAGAGAATTCACATTTTCTATAAACACAAGTTTTTTTTTTTAATTCTTTGGATTGTAAGAATCTAAGATAAAAAACAAATAGTCGTTTTTTTTGTAATTTTTCATTTTGTAAAGGTTAGAAAAAAAAAATTTTTCCAATGTGACGCATTTTTTTTAATTATATTTTCTGCAAAATTTACTAAGGATATTAAAATTTTGATTAAAATTAAAGGAGGCTCTTAAGTAGCCGAAAAACGTACAATAAATCGGCTTTTCAAATTTTAGGTTATGTCACACAGATTAAAAAAATTTTAAAAATACGTGAAAGTTGTATTTTTTCTTGCTCTACAAGATAGATTTCATTACCTAGTACATATTTTTGTTCATTTCTGATCCTTGTATAATAATTTNTTCATTTTGTCATTACGTAGATATGTTTTATTATACTATTACTGTTTGTTTTATTAATATTGACGGTTATAAATATAAAAACATTTTTTTTTCAAAAGCTTTTGTTGAACTTTTTACGTACATTTTGCCGGATAACTATAGCCATTGTTCAAATCAATGTTACAAGTACAAATTTTTAAAAATGCGTCATTATAATGGCAATGCTGATATAGTACTCTTAAATCGTTGGGTATTTATGTCAGGCCAAATCGATTTATCGACTCGAGAACTCAATAACCGCGAAAATTCGTCAGACGCAAAACTTAGAGAGAGCCAGAATTCTGTAGAGTCAGCAACGGTAGAAGCTGGATTTTGGCATGAATTTATTAACTTACAGATTGGATCTAAATTTTCAATGGTTTCTCTCAATTTTCTTTCAAAATTCTCAGAGTGCAATAACTCTACTATGTTATCATTAATATTCACATCTGGAAACTCGGAAATTTGTCGTAATAATTCTATATTTCTTATAATACTAACACAAGAGTCCCTTACATAACCAAACCTCTTGTCAGGGTAATTTTTTAATTCAGTTCCACCTGTTTTTATTATTAGTGCGTCAAATTTTGGATCCCGAAACGCATTAATAAATTCACGAATCTGTTCTAACAAAACATTATCCACGATACTTTTGAGTAAAAGGTTTCCACTATGGCTTGCGCAAGTTGATTGCCACAATTCTTTCCTTTCAACCGTTCGAGCAAGTCTACCTCCACGAACAATTTTGCTATCGTTGTCACTAACAATTGCGTAAATATCAGTATTATATTTTTCTTTTGCTATTACAATAGCTTCTTCTATAAAGTCTGATAAAAATTCTCCATCTTCTTTATCCGTCGATATGTCAGAAAAAGTTAAAAACGTTTGATGGACATTTTTGTTTCGAACAGTACTAACCAAAAATTTTCTATTCACAGATTTGTTTCTCCAATCATCAATGAGCAGAACACTTGGAGTTCCTTGGAGGTGATTTTGTCTTTCTAACTCAATTTTTTCATGAACTTTACGTAGTACCGTGCTAGCTAAAAATTTTCTAGATGGTGGCTTGTAGGAGATACCGCATTTGGTTAATGATACGATAAAATCGACAAAATACTTATTTTCTACAACTCTAAACGGAATATTACAGGAAAAAAAGAATTTTCCTAGATTTATGTCCAGAAACTGTTTAACGTCATCCAAGTCATTATTACCATCATTGTAAGTACAATAATTATTTTGAGGATGATTGTTTGTATTATCACACAAAAGTTGGTTTACCTGAAACAAATAGAATGTGTTTCTCAAAAAATGTTTTATATGTGTATGTATGTATGTATATATTTAAAATTTATTAGGATAATTTTTGTATCAATATGTACAGAAGAATGTAATTCAAAATTTTTACTATGAAAACAACTAAAAAATTTCGGCAAGAAAGTTAACTGCCACTATGAATGTACGGCTTTATATAGCTGTGGCTTAACTTTTGCCATTGACGGTAGCGTAGCGCGTAGCTAGCACGCAGCGTACGGCAGAACAGAACGCACTGCCTTACTGACTTAAATACAGTCCAGAGAAAATTGTAGTTTCCTACCTTAACGGTAGGTTGCTTTAATTGCATAGCCTTGAAACATTATTTATTTAACAGCTAGCTGTTTTATTAAAAAAATAAGAGTAGACGCACATTCTTGACACATCAAAGAACAAATCAAGCCCTTACTTAGCAAAATTGATTGAGAATTCAAGCCAAACAGTGAAAAATCAGGTGTTGGATTAATAAGATGTAATCTGATCTCTCACTTTTCTTCTCCATATTTCAATAAATCTTACCGAAATCGAGCAATATTTATTCCTTGTAGATTCAGGAATGTAAGTCTACTGTTTTTCTCACATGTTAATATTTCAGATTAATCGATTGTTGCATACTAAGTCAAATATCTGTTGGTCGATAGAATAGGAAACTCATTTATGCAAAGTAATATCGTATGCTTAATTCAGTTAGGTGATGTTATTTGCATCAGTAATTTACTATAGTCATTTTTTTAATAAAACAGCTAGCTGCTAAATAAATAATGTTTTATGGCTATGCAATTAAAGCAACCTACCGATAAGGTAGAAAACTACAATTTTCTCTGGACTGCCTTCAACAGGTTGCTTTCTTTCTGGGACCGGGTGAAAAATCAACCCACAACTAGAAGTCATTCATTCCAAATAGTAGGCACGTCATGCCCAGAGTGTTTGACCTGATTTTGTTTCGGCTTGGGCAAATTTCTTGCCCGAAATTTTTTCAGTGCAGTATTCACATTTTTTTGAGCGCCACAATTAACTTCACTTGATTTCGTTAATGTTAATAATCTTGAAAAACCATACAAAATATCAAATGAACTCTCATGAGGGTAAGCTATTTCTTTTTCATTCTTTTTTTTATTATTATTTTATTTTTTTTATAATGAATATCAGAATAGATAATGAAAGCGATGAGCATGATACGAGGGAAAACAAAACAAAGTACTTGTTACTGCAATTATTATGTATTGATCATAAAAGATACAGGAAAACTAGTAATAATAGACTGTAAAATTTGATGTGTTATAATGTCATATTAGTAGACGATCGTTGAACGTATTAAAGACTTCTAAATTCTATTGTAGGTGAGATGTGGAAAATAATAGTGTTGAAAAATATTATGACCTTTATATTACAGAATAATAATTTCTGAATACTTGTCACTAATATTACAATGTATAAAGATCGTTTTATGGAACAATCCTAATTTAATTTTTAAAATATTTTAACTTTCTTGCGTCATTCGCATTTTTTTCCCATTATGTTGAGAGACATAGGATTAGTATATGTTTTTCTGTTCAACAGATGACATGGTTTAATTGTAAAAATAAATATTTTTTCAAACCCTTGGGGGAAGTTAGTACTTCTACGGTTAGGTTTGCCTGGAGGAAGGAGAACGTTTACTAACAACTAAGTGGAACAGCGGAACTACGAATTTTTACCCAAAGATTAAAAAAACAGTATTTATTATATGAATGAGAAATGGAAATCCCGTACGTACGTGACTGTGAATTCCTCTTGTTTTCGCCTGGATGTGTCATATCACGTTCGTGCAGAAGTTCTATTTCCCCTCCTTGTACTATTTTTCATAATTTTTTTGTGTTATAGGTTAAGAGGCGACTTTGCACCAGTAGAAAAAATTTTTGTCAGTTTCTCGTTTATGGAGATTAATACTTCGACAGTTATATGATCTCTCTTTATTCGTTTTTGAGATACATGACTAAAAACATGTATTATTTAAACAATTTTATGGTACTTATAGGTTAACAAGTATTTTGACAGTATTGCACCAAGTTTTATCGTAATATGCATTAAATATACTAAAGGCTTTTATAAGTTTGTTCATTATATCTTTTTTTCGAGTTTAGATGAACGAGAAATTTTTTTTGTATCTCTTGTTTCATTTTGTCATTACGTAGATATGTTTTATTATACTATTACTGTTTGTTTTTTAATATTGACGGTTATGAATGTAAAAACATTTTTTTTCAAAAGCTTTTGTTGAACTTTTTACGTACATTTTGCCGGATAACTATAGCCATTGTTCAAATCAATGTTACAAGTACAAATTTTTAAAAATGCGTCATTATAATTGCAATGCTAATATAGTACTCTTAAATCGTTGGGTATTTATGTCAGTGTTTTCATGCATATGTCAAATGAGTAGATAAGTTGATAAGTTTCTCAAATAAAATGTATTGAAAAAAGTAGCAGTTACAGTACAAGAAAAAAAATTTCATTTGACTTTTTTACATATAACACTGATATAAACATCATCCGACAATGCTTCGGGCGCGTATTTTCTGAACGCAGGCCCTCCTGGCCAACATGTCGGCCATGTACGCCGTTTACCACGGGCCCGAGGGCTTGCGCCGAATAGCGGCTCGCGTGCACATGCTGACCGTCGTCCTGGCCGAGGGACTGCGGAGGGATGGGCACGACCTTGTGGGCGAGGGCTGGTACTTTGACACTGTGACGATAAAGCCAAGAGTGCCTTTGGAAAACATCAGGAGAAGCGCCGAGTCGGAGAGGATGAACCTCAGGTACAACAGGGACGGGACCGTGGGCGTGTCTCTGGACGAGAAGACGACTCCCGATGACGTGGACGACATCCTCCGAGTATTTGGGACCAGCGCCACGGTCGAGGGGATCGTCGGAAGCGGCCTCGTCGAGGGCAGGGACCTTGACCACTCGCCCTTCCGTCGCACGACTCCGTACTTGCAGCATCCCGTTTTCAACGCCCATCACTCGGAAACACGGATCGTTCGGTACATGAAGTCTTTGGAGAACAAGGACATCTCGCTCGTGCACAGTATGATTCCCCTGGTGAGTAAAAAAAAAAAAAAATAAGGG